ACAGAAAGACAGACAGACAGAAAGACAGACAGACAAACAGAATGAAACTTTTCCGGTCAGTGGAGTAATGGGCTTCGCTAATCGCTCAGCCAAAAAGAACAAACTCACTGACTTTTCTGTTTCCGTGGTGGCTCTGATTGGTCGAGCTCATCACGTGTCACGACGGCGTTTCAGGTATGAAAAACTGTCAGGTCAGTTTCGAGCTCGCCTCCATATTTGAGAGGTTAGAATCGGTCCAAACTACCATGGCAATATCTCATACTGATCAGACGGAAACAGATTAATCGGTGAGTTTGTTCTTTTTCACTTCCGTTCTAGATAGCCTGAAACACCCTATTGTAAAGGGAGTAATACTTGGACCTCACGTTACTGGTCGAACCACACCCTCTTTGGGGCTTAAGGGTCCCTAGATTACCTACTATCACTAAAACGTTGCTTTTTACATAGATCTGACAATATTCGATTATTTAAGGAAAACCGTTACCGCACAGCAGAAGTTTCATGTCCCTTACTTTAGAGAAATAAGACCTCGTCAAATGGTTCGAGTATGTCAAATTTTGGGCCCGGAAGGCCCTGTTCCCCTAAACTCTCTCCTTAACTCGTCTCGGGTGTCGGCGCCGCAGGCCTAGCTATGTGTGCGCCAGGCGCGTCGCAGCGCAACAGTGTTTTGTGAGATATCGCGGAGCCTGTTACGCGAGACGTGGTCTGGCGTACATCTACCTAGTTAATCACAACTGTGTGCGGTTCCACACTAAAAAGTCCACACTCCAAAGTTATAGTAAAGAACTTCAGTAGGGAGGTGAGGAACCTGTGACCATCTCCATATGGTTTGTGTTGAAGTAATGGAAGAAACACCTAAAATGTGAAAGAAATTGATGAACAAGTGGTCTATAATTTATTGAAGAGGAATTCTAAGATAAACTTACAGAAACCAGGACCGTTTGGTCCAAATTTTGATTTGAGTCAGAATCAGAATCAATGAGAATCAATGTCATTGTGTCGATTGCGTCACTAGCCATATATGACTGTTTCCTGACCCATCTGACTCCCAGCTTCAAGATTTTATTATGATTAGTTTTGTCGCGGAACAGACGCAGTACAACCGAAAGAACTTTAAACAGAGACATAGCTATGTCACTGTCAATGTCTCCATTCAAAAGTTCCAGAATTGTATCAACATTCTCAGGGATCCTAAAAGAATAACAAGATGAAAGAGCTGAAACATAAGATAAAGTTTGATCTTTTGCAGACAGCATTTTATGATAATTGGCTGAGCGATAGCGAAGCCTATTACTCCAGTGATGATCAAAAAGTTTCGCGTCTGTCTGTTTGTCTGTCTGTTCGCACGATAACTCGAGAACGGTTTGAGGTAGAAGGCTTATTTTTTTATTGTAACTTTGTATCATAAAAAGAAAGAACTGTATTGATTTTGAGCCCACTGGCTCAAAAATTGACGTGTCAAAAAAATCAAAAACAAAGGGCCCAAAACATTTCTATTAAAAAACTTACTTTGATACATCTTACCCAGAAGGAACTCGTCAAAGTAGACCCCCATGAACCAAAATTATGTCCGTTTTGCTCTATCACTAACCGTTTGGGCTCCAGAGGGCGTTCTTCACACGGAAATCAACCTAAAACATTTTAACGTAGCTTTGTGGCATAAAGAGCAAGGACTGTGTTGATTTTGAGCCCTCTAGCTTGAAAATTGACCAGGCAAAAAAAATCATAAACAAAAACCCCAAAATATTA